CAGTGGTGAAACGCTTATGCAGAGAAGCACAGAAGGCGAGCAGAAGGATGCTGCGAGGAGGGCAGAAAAGTACTTGGAAGATGAGCCGGAGTTTCGCGACCGCTGCAGGATGGCAGCTTGATGGGGGAGCCTGTGATCAGAAGAGTGAAGAACAGGTGATGGATGCCTTTGATTGGAGTCGATTGCGGCTCAAGCGCAGCTACTTGGCCAGCGGGGGTGCAATCTGATAGCATCAGAAGATGTCGTAGAGAGATGAGCACGACCGCCGACGACCCTGGGAGCATAGGTGCGAGTCCGGGCAGCCGGCATACTCAGCCCGGGCGGCATATATTAGAATCAGGATAAGCTTCTGAGAGAATGGGTTGCGAGTAGCAGTAGCAGCGCGGGCAGCTGCAGTTAGCCTCGATAATACAGCAAAAGTCTTCCCGTATAAGCCGCGGGTCATGCTGCAGTAGCAGGCTAGCAGCGGCCTTAGAAAATAACAGTATAATTCTGTATCAATGCCACAGCAGCTAGAATGTTGTGTAGCTGTTCAGGGTTTCAGTAAAAGAGATGCGAAGTGAGAGACGATGGCAATGTTTGAATAGCAGCAGCAGCAGTATAGCTGCAGTAGCCGTATGAAGTCAGCAGCAGTAGCAGTTTGAAGCTGCAGTGCCTAGCAGTAGCAGTATGAAAGCAGCAGCAGTGCAGCATCCGTCGATATAGCAGCTATAATCCTGTATTCAAGCCAGAGCAGTGATATTGTTGTAGACGGTTTGTGTTTCAGTAAAAAGATGCAGAGTGTTAGAGGGATGTCAAAGTACATGAAGCAGCAGCAGCAGCAGGCGCAGCAGTAGCCGCAGCTGTAACTGGTAGCAGGTATGAAGCAGCAGATGCAGCATTGAGCGTAGCAGGCGTAGCAGTATGAAGGCAAGCAGCGGTTGCGGATCCGTAGATAATAACAGCATTAATCCTGTGTATCAAATCCAGAGCTGTAGAATATTGTTGTAGCTGTTTGTGTTTCAGTAAAGAGAATGAGAGTGAAGAGAGATGGTCAAGTACATGAAGCAGCAGCAGCCTCCACGGCTGGCTGATTGCAGTATGAAGCGCAGCGGCAGCAGTAGCAGCGTAACGGTAGCAGCATGTGCAGGCAGCGAGCAGCAGCGGTTGCTGCATCGTAGATATAACTGCAATAATCCTGTATCAAGCCACCGCAGTAGAATAGTAGTTGAGCGATGTTTATGTTTCAGTATAAGAGCATGCGCAGTGAAGAGAAGGTGTCAATGTAAAAGAAGCAGAAAAAACTGCAGCCGGCAGCAGATGCAGTATGACTGCAGCAGCGGGCAGCAATTGCAGCAGTTGGCTGGCAGCAGAAGCTGCAAGCAGCAGCAGCACAATGCAATTCATACGAGCAACAGTCGTGTCACGCCAGCGTGCGCCCGCTTGTCTCCGTGAGCCAGGTTACGTACGTGTCTGAAGAGCCGAGCCGTAAGAGTTTGGTGCAGCTGGGAGCCTGCGGTGCGCAGCGGCAGCAACAGCAGCAGCGGCACATGTAGTTGTAGGAGCAGTTGGGAGCAAGCAGGAGCAGGCAGCAGGGACAGGCAGCAGCTGGGAATATGCAGCAGGGGATCAGGCATCAGTAGGAACGGCCAGCAGGGGACCGCAGCAGCGGCGGTCAGGAACAATGCCCACGGTTGTTTATAGAGCCTGAGGATTAAATTCCTACATTGTTTGCTCCAAAGTCCCACCTAAACCTCAGTACAAGCATATAAAACCTCCAGAACAGTCAATTCGACGGATTTTCAGATCGTTTTTGTCCTCATATTTTTGTGGCTTTTTCTGTTTCTACATGTAGTTAGAATGTTTATTAAAACTATCTTGATCCTCTGCTGGTGCTAGTTACCATAGCAACACACTGTTTACTCGTAGAAGTTAGTATCTTTGTTTCTTTGATCTGAGTTCAGCTGAAGAATATTGGGTTTTTTAGAGGCATAAAATTCTTCATGTTTTCATTGGAAAGAAATTGGAAATACCAGGGTACATAGATAGTTTTATACCAGAGAAAATAAAGATAATAATAATATATATTTTAATATACAGCGAGTGAAGTTAACATGTATGATTTATGGAAATATACAGTCAAAAGGGGCAATCTCACAGGGGTATATAATATATTACTGTTAAAAGTTCAAACAGGAAATTCATTGCTTTAAAGTAATACAGAAAGACCTCCCTTCTTCTACACTGCAAATAATAACAAAATATGAGGTAATAATTGCTTGTATCAAATGTTTTTTAATCCTTTTTTGAGTACATTCTGACACAACAAAGAAGATTCTCCAGTGGGACAAAGCCATGTCTTTTTTCGGTAACTTGAAGAAGATGACAAAGTCTGGGATTGTGTCTTAAATTCAGACAGAAGACATGTTTTATTGTCGATGGTAGAGACAGCACGAACAACACGAACACAGAATGCAAGTGTATTATACAGAGCGGAGGCATGGAGACCTCCAATCAGCAGCTGCCACGGTGCCATGTAGCTTGGCCTTCAGATAGACAAAACAAGGGAAAAGTACTGGCTTCTGCACATTGATAGAATGATGAGTTTAACTTTAACAAAAGTTGCTTCAAACTGTTATGAAATCTCACAAACTGCTGCTTTATTTTTTAATTCCAATGAAGACATTTCTTGTATCATTTTGTTTTGTCTCATTATCAAATTGCATTTTAAGGTGCAGTCAAAATGTGCTCAAACTAAGATACATTTTGCCAAATTAGAATTTTTTTTAACTTTTTTTCATCACATTTTTGTAAACTACATTTTAATCCTTAGACATGAAATCCACTTTTCACTTCCCTGGAATTGTGTCTGAAGAGATTTACTGACATTTTTAGCTGTGTAGGCTGTTCTTAATTCAGGCATTTCAAGTCAAATACACGACTATTTGGGAGCGGTCTGTCTGGTTTCAAAGACAGAGACAAGCTACTGCGATGTTTAGCATTTCAGTATGAATGTAAATGTGAGAAAACTAGTTTAACCAACATGAACGAGCCCGGTCCCCCGATAAACCCATCCCTCTATTGTTTTCAGACGAGTTCCATTTCAATGTGTTTGTGTGAGAACGAGCTATACCAGGGGTGTCAGACTCATTTTGGTTCAGGCCCGAGTGCAAAATGTAAGAAATGGTCGGGGGCTGCAAGAATAAAAGTGGTTTTCCTTAATTATAGATGTGTTTTAACATTATGAAGGTATCTCTATGTTTTTCTGTTGTTTATTTGTTTGTGTGGCTGGATGTCTTTCTGGACTCCTGACTTTTATGGGGATCAACAAAGTAATTGTTAGTATTAGATAGCAATATGGCCTACGTGCAGGACTGTACAAGGACTCTGATTATTTTGACTATGATGTGACTGTCTCTGTGTGACACGTACAACTTTCCATGTGTGACGTGACAATGACTATATAAACTGTGTACTGCCTTTATTCTGTCTGAGAGAAAGAAACAATTGAAACAACTGGAACTTGAGAGAAACTTAAATAAACTTCCAGAGTTTGGCGCACCACGATCCGTCTCTGTCTGCTTCATCCCTGACATAATATCTATCTTTATAATGTACTTGTTAGATTGCATATTCATTTCCAATTAAAATGAGTTCAGTTATTGTGGACTGAACCAAAACTAAACCAAATATTAAGAGATGTAAACAAGGACACGCAAAATATATATATTTATTTAACAAAACAACTTCTGATTATCAATATTTCTTATTACATTAAATACTATAGTTGTTTTCTTGAGAAATTTAGATAGAAAAATAAGTAATATATAAAATGTCATTGTAGCCTATTACCATCAATGCTGCAACTTAATATAGTCATTTAATATAGTATAGTATCTGAGGGGCCACTGGAAATGGTCTCAGGGGCCAGATTTGGTCACGCCTGATCTATACAGTCCAGATTTGGGAAAAACTGTTGAAACTATGACAACAACAAAATATTAGGGGAAGAGCCACTATGAATGAATTAATGAATGTTTTATTTGGATATTTGATATGAGAAAAACAACAGCAATGTAATTATTGATTGATTAAGGGAAATAAATAAACAATCGATGTCCAAAAGAGAAGTGGGAAGAAGTAAAAAAAAAACTTGTGTAATCCCTTACAATTTACAACTCTGATTTTACAAAATAAATAATATCTTCCTTTACCATATGCAACTGACTCTTGAAATTGTCTGAAATAATATTGGTAAATATATAACAGCAAGCCTAGCGCTTGGAAGTTTTTAACATGCTTCACGAACATATTTATCAAAAATATTGACTTTGTATCTCTTTTTAAACTCAGATATTGTTTTGACATGATCCAGAGCTGCTATGATCATGATTAGATTACTGATTTCCCCAATAAATACTGCACTATAATCAAATAACATACCCTTTTATTTAGTATCAATCGTGGCAAAGTCACTGTCTTGTTTGTGTAATGAAGATGCCAAATCATTATAAACAACACACTAAGATTACAATGAAATCCACTTACTTAAAACCCTGATTCTTGATTGAGTCACTGCACAAAACAAGGTCCTCTCGTGTGGGCGGGACTTCATGCAAATACCTCCTCTCTGATTGGCTGCTGGGTAAAAGTTCTGTATAAATGCAGGCCCAGTGTCTCTCACATGTTGATTAGAATCTGCTACAATCACAGTCATAATGGCAGAGAGAGTGCTTCACCTGGACCAAGACACATTCAACTGCCCCGTCTGTCTGGATCTACTGAAGACTCCCGTCACTATTCCGTGCGGACACAGCTTCTGCATGAGCTGTGTGGACACTCACTGGGATGGGGAGGAGGGTAAACAGAGCTACAGTTGCCCCCAGTGCAGACAGAGCTTCAGCCAGAGACCTGTACTGGTGAAAAACCCCATGTTGGCTGTTTTAATGGAGAAAATGAAGATGACTGAGGCTCCAGCTGCTGTTGTGGCCTGCTCTGCTGCTCAGGGAGATGATACAGTGATGGCTGCCACGAAAAGGCTGGAGGAGAGCTTCCAGAAGACCCATGAGAGGCTTGAAGACAGACAGAAACAAGTGGATTTGCTGCAAAACAAGGCAGCTGCGGTCAGTAGTAGCGCTGACAGAGCCCTGGATAAGACGGACACAGTTTTCAAGTTGATCTCTGGTCTGTTGGAGAAAACCAAGGCAGAAGCAAAGCAACGCATCAGATCTCAGCAGGAGGTGGAGGAGCATAGACTCAAAGAACTCCAGGACAAAGTGCAAGAGGAGGTCAAGGCGCTGAAGACCAAGTACGACTATCTGGAGAAGCTCTCACAGTCTCCCAGTGGATCCATTCCCACTTTTCCATTTTTGTCTGAAGCCGAGGAAGCTCCTGGGGTTTCTACCGGTGAAGAAACACCCCCAAGGTTCTTAAATGTGGTTCGAAATGCAGTAGCTGTGTTCAAGAACGAGCTGGAGGTTGCTTCTGGGATGAACGCTCGGAATGGGGCTGAGGACCAAGAAGAGGACGCCTGGACCATGTGCTCTGCCTGCTCCTTTGTGCGTACGTATGTGCAGGTGGTGCAGGAGCAGATGCAGGCCATGACTAACGACTCCTGGCTCAACCCTCAGAGTGCGGGGACGTACAGGGAGGAGCTGCTGTCCTATTCCCGGAGCGTCACCCTGGATCCAAACACAGCCCACTCTCGGCTGTCTGTGAGCGTGGACCTCAACATGGTGCGCTTCCTGATGCCACAGCAGCAGGCGCGGCACCCAGACCGCTTCACCCACTACACCCAGGTTCTGACCAAAGAGGTGCTGACGGGCCGCTGCTACGTGGAGATAGAGGTCATAAGTAAGGAATGCTTTACTGTTGCTGTGGTCAACAAGGACATCAGTAGAAAAGGAGCGTCTGATGAGTGCAGCTTGGGCAGAAACGCAAACTCGTGGGCAGTGGATTGCTCGAAGGATGACTATATTTTTCGACACAAACAGACCAGTCAGTTTATTACTGCCAGACGCTCGGACACAGTGGGGATCTACGTGGACGTGGAGGTTGGATTCTTGGCCTTCTACAGCGTGGGCCCAGAAGTCTCTCTGATCCACAGCGTTTACACCAGATTCACTCAGCCGCTGCTGGCTGGGATCTGGCTGAAGGGCACTGCTGACTATGCAAAGATCTGCAGCAGCCGGGACACTCCAGAAACTGTCTATAGGAGCCCACTAGGTGCAGACTATAGGAGCCCACTAGGAGCGCACTATAGAAGCACACTTGGAGCACATTATAGAAGCACACTAGGAGCACACTAGCAGCATAATAGGAACACATTATAGAAGCACACTATAAAAGCACACATGGACTGTCATCATTGTACAGATGCAAACACATGCAATGGCTTATTTTTTTTTACAAGCCCTTTTTGGATTTTTTTGTCTACACATTATTGTTTTCTAGAAATGCCCAGATGTGTAAATATTATTAACTGTTTCGATAGTGTGTGATACGATTATGATTCCCCTTGCCTTGAAACACTGTATGGCAACGTTTTCTTAATAAAGTTTGATGCAAATGCTGTCATGGCTCTAATCTTTAAGCATCTATTTGTTTTAAATTAAATAGTGTGGGGTATGCAGCTTGCCAACTTATACAGGAAATTAGTATTAATGGTAATGTAATGGCTTTGTAATAGAAAATATGCATGGACAATTATATCGAAGGTCTAAGCTCTATGAAGATCAACAGGAAAAGGAAACTCCTCTAGCTGAGTAATTATTAATTATTATCCCTCTCCAGGCGTTGCAGATTTGCAACAACTTTTTTATTTCTGATTACCCACATCCACATTTTTGACCCTTTTTTACACAGAAGTACCACAGCTGACCTGCTCACCAGGGGGCGGAGCTGTCTCACTTCCAAAACGTTTTTTCTAGGCTTCTATTTCATGTCAGTGTTACTATCAACCTCTAATAATTTGAAACCAAAACGGCATAAAATGAAAGATGAATACACTGTATATAGATACAGATACAGTACTAGTATTAGTAGATTTGATCTCCTCTGGGTTCTTCCCCTGGGTCAGCTCTATTTACCACAGCGGGCTAATGTTGCAAATCTGCAACATCCCAGAATGCATTGCATGTGAAGGTCTCTCTCTCAAAAAAAGTCAGGATTGAATATTACTAACCCTTGTGATCATTTCCCCAAATATCAATTATAATTGAGCCCTGAGAGGGATAATGTTTAGTCTTAGTAAAAATTCATAAAGTTGTTTTGTGTGTATTTATTTTATCTTTGATTTTATCTTTAATCTTTTTAAAGCACTATGACTATTTATGATTTTAATACCATGTGTGATTTTAATGTTTTCTAACTTGTGTGTTTTTATTTTTAATGTTTTTAATATATCTTGTGCTATATTTATAATCTAATGTTCTAATGATGTAGTGTGGGTTGTGAGGCGCTTTGCGTTGCCTTGTGTAGGAAAGGCGCTCTACAAATAAACGTTGATTGATTGATTATTGTTTGTATGTGTACACCAGATGTGATTGATTATACAGCACTTATAGTTTACACTGTAACTGAAAACATTCCCACAAAACTAACCCTAATAAAAATAACAAAAGTTCACAACCCTATGAAGCCTGAGCGCCAAGATCAGTAAGACCCACAAATACTGTTTTATCTCTTTACTTTCATTTTCAAACACTGCATTTCCACATAATCTCAATACACACGACACCTACATGTGAAAGCAAAATCTTGTCAGACCTCTGAAGCTAAGTAGGGCAGGGCCTGGTAAGTAATGTGATGGGAGACCTCTGGGAACACTATTACACGACAGTTGTTGTGCCCTTAGGCAAGACACTTCACCCACATCAGAATGAGTCTGGTGTGTTTGAATGGTGGTGGTGGTCGGAGGGGCTGATGGGACAGACTGGGCGCCTTGCTTCTGTCAGTGTGCCCCAGGGCAGTTGTGGCTACAGTAGAAGTTTATCACCACCATGTATGGAGTACTTGAATAATGACATGTGAAGCGTCTTTGAGAGTCCAAAAAAGCGTTATATAAAACTAATTTATTAATATTATCATTATTATTATCACTTCTTACTATGTTTCAGTGGCTGTTTGTGTTCTTCAGCTCACAGAACTCTGCGTAGGCCCCTTGATACCCCCCAAACCACAGCCCTGCGTACAGAGGCTGCGTGAACACCGCGTGGACCTCATGAAGCAAAGTCACGACGTCCGACACACTGTAGAACGCCAACACGCCCTTTCTGCGGTCCAAATACACTCCCACCCGCGACGTCCAGGGTCCCAAGATGGCCGTCTTCTTAGCTTTGTGTATGAACTTGTAGCTGCTGCTGGTATTGCATTCCAACGCCCAAGACTTGTCATTGAAACCGAAGGCTACGTCGGCCATGGGTCCAGCTCTCGCGATATCCTTGTAGGCGACCGCAATAGTCACTCGTTTCTTCCTCCATTCCACCTCGAAATAGCAAGGTCCGTTATCGCACAGGTTTTCCTTGCTGAGGACCTGACGCCATCGCATGAATCTATCCGGGTGGTTGGGTTTCGCTTCTTCCTCTCGCAACAACGTGGCCCTCCGATTGTTCTCCGACAGGGAAAGTTGAGCGTTCGCCGAGTCGAGATCCAACGAAACGGCGCAAGCGTGGAGCAAAAGTTCGGACCTGCTCGACGGCTGCTTGGAAGTCGATTCTTGCACTCCAGCGGCTGCGTTTTCGTACAAAATCTCCAGTATTTTGGCTTTCGTTTTTGAGATTTGCCCTGCCAAGTTCTCGAAGCAGGACCGCGGCTGTGTTTTAACCCTTGGCAAGTCGTCCAAGGCCTTGAAACCAGCAATCTGCGAGAAGTCTTCCAAAAACTGGCTGTCGTTTTGGTAAACAAACAGCTTGGCAATTTCAGCTTCTTTTCGTTTCAACTCGGACACTTCCTCCTCGAGTTTGTCCTGGACTTTTTGCACGCGTACCACCTCTTTCTCCAGATTGGATCTTATTTCGTGCTGCACTTCAGAGTGTCTCTTCTGGATGACACTCAGTAACTCTCCGAAGATGTGGTCGCAGTCTCGAGAGGCTTTGTCCGCCGAATCAAAGGTCTTGTCCAGTTCGATCTGAAGGACTTGGAGGTCTCGTTCTTTGTTGGAGATTTGCTGGTGGATCTTTCGCTGTGTCATGGTCAGGTCGTTTTGCCGCTCCGTCCTGGCAACGGCAACAGGCACCACGCTGTGATTTCTATGCTCCGATTTGGCGCAGACTTCGCAAATGCAGTGTTGATCGATTTGGCAAAACATCTCCATCGCCTGCAGTGACGGGAAGAAGAAGTGTGAGATACAGAAAAATGTATTTAAGCACCGTAAGTAAGTAAGTAGTTTGTGTAAAATCTAAATGAGCCAAAATTCATCTAAAAAAAACGAAACATTTCCAAAGCCATGGTCTGAAATTGATTTATATATTAAAATACTTTGTCTGGTTTACCACAAATATATCAGATTGCCACTTTACCACTTTGCGATGGATGCCCTGAAATGGACAGAAATCACAAAATGGGCAGAATAGAATAAGATCTGCATTGTATCTAACTTTGTCTTGCACTTGCACTTGCGCTTGCGCTTATATAAATTAATTAATTTAGGATTATTACTTTGAATTTAGCTTTAGAGGACCTAGCAAATGTATTTCTATTTGAATTCATGAACACTGACCCATAACGTGACCTACATTTTAATATAATAGATCAATGAGCGTGACACATTTTCAGATCATCTGCTCTATATTCTAGCTTTCTTCATAATTTAGATTATTAAAGATTAGAGATAGATTATTATACTTTTATCCCATTATATGCAATTACTTTTATGAGTAAGAAGTTATAGAAGTTCATTTTATGGCAGTTAAGAGTCCCCAATCTCCATGGTTCTGGTTCTGGACTGGGTCTGGACTGGGTTTGGTTGTGCTTGAATCCAATTACAATACAAATAACGATCATTATATAATAAAAACAATAAAAGACAAGCTAAAAATAAAATAAAAACCAGGGCATACGCTTAAACGATTGTTGATATCTGTAAATGTAAAGGGGATGTATCAATAATATATTCATACGATATAATTGTATGTGTATTGATGTGTTTTAATGTGTGAAGCGCTTTGTGATCCGGGTCTGTGAAAGGCGCTATACAAATAAACTTGACTTACTTACTTACATAATAAATGAGAAGTTTATAGCATTCTTAGATTAGATGAGATCCAGAGAAGTATAGAATTGTTTGAACTCATTCCTCCATGAGTGTCGTTCGTGACACGCTATTTATTTGCAGCAGTCAGCATTTACATGACAATACAAATGATTCTGATTCGGTTTCCATCCACCAAACTGATTTTTTCTCCATTTCAAATTATATTATAACTCATAGGTTATATTAGCCCGTTTTAGTTTAGCATTTACTAAAAGTGGGTAAAAATCTTATCAATGACTTACTAAAGAAATATATGTATTTTAATGACATTTGCAGAATGCCATGAATTGGAATGGGAACCGTCAAAATGACTACTTTGGGGTTTCGCTTAGTTTCTGAAATCTGGCGGTCCCTTTGTTGACAAACTGCTGCGTGGGCTTAATTAGTGACTGAATACTTCAAACTGAACTCCACCACACAAAACACACACTTCACACACCCTCCAAAAACACACACCCGATTATGCCTGTCGCAGATCACGTCCTGGTCTCCCCCTGCCACCTCCAAGTCCTCCACCAGACCCGCCAGCATGGTATTAATAACCATGGGAGGCCTTGGTCTGAAAGTCTGGCAACACTGCGGACAGCTGTAGATCCTGCGCTGGTCCTCCTCGTCCCAAAACTTTTTAATGCAGCTCATGCAGTAGCTGTGGCCGCAGGGGGTCGTCACCGGGTTGTTCAGAAGCTCCAGGCAGATGGAGCAGTGAAAGCGCTCTCTGTTGGACTGAACTCCGCTGTGGGCCATGTTTTAGCCCGGGCGTGACCGGCTGGAATGACAGATTTAACTTGGGCTGGGTTGGAAAGACGATGCGTGACATTCCGAACTTTTTTTTTTTTTCCCATCGGCGCTCCCGTTGTTGTAGATTCATACGCAGTCAGGAGCGTAGGCCGCATCCGTATTCGTAAACTCGCCTCCTTGTCATTTCTCCTTCTCGGTTTTCAGTGGCCTTTATGGTGTTAAAGTTTAACTTAGGATTCAAAATATGTATTGAGCTTCCCGTTGGCAAAGCTGATACTGTTCTGTTTATTAAAAAGTGACTTCAAGAGAAAAACGAGGAGGTAGTTGTTAATAATTGGATGCATTCACAGCGTCAAAGTGTAGAGTCCAGCTATTTAGAAATCAGCACGGAGAAAAAATCATGGAGTGAATGTGGGATTTTAAAGAGACAGTTTTGCAAGCCCATTTAAAACATAAATATATCTTAAGTCTGGATGGATGGATCTTCTAATCAAAAAGCCCCATGACAAAACTATTCACATTTTTGTGTGCGCAAATAGTTAGACCATATTTTACGAACAGTTTTACGCTTGCCTTTACATCTATTTGTACTTATTATACTAGTAAAAAAAGTTTATTATTTACGATAAGTCAAATAATACCCACAGGCACATTGATGTAGTAGGGTCATTAAAACTCGGGTCTATCCTCTTGTTGTTGTTTTGTACACAAGAGGGCGCTCTCCAACAGAGGACAGGGCGGCACGGTGGCTGAGTGGATAGCACTCTCGCCTCTCAGCAAGAAGGTCCTGGGTTCGAATCCCGGTCGGACCAGGGCCTTTCTGAGTGGAGTTTGCATGTTCTCCCCGTGTCTGCGTAGGTTTCCTCCGGGTACTCCGGTTTCCCCTACCACTAAAAATATGTCCAATAGTTCTGGCATGCGCCTCCTGTACTGGCGACCCCGCTCCCATCTCTGTGTGGAGTGAGAGACAAATGCCCATAATTAACAATTGTAAACCGCTTTGAGACTCAGATCTGCAGTGAAAAGGCGGTATATAAATAAAAACTTACTAACTTACTACTTACAGGCTGGAGTCTGGGCAGGCGTGGAGCAGTCACCAGCAGAGGGCGTACGTGAGGAGGTAATGTGGGCTCCTTGTCACGGACCTGTCTGAACATGGGAGAGACTGTTTTCTATCGCCTCCAGACACGACTTTTCCAACACAAAAACACGATACAAGATCAGTGACGCTTTGGAAAAACAGTGTCTCAAATCCTGATCGCAACAACAACATCAAAAGCAGAGTTCAAATGAGTTGTAGTATATGTGTGAAGTCACTATTTTAAAACAAAGTAAAGGCTGTAATATGTTGGAGTACTTTAAAACGCACTCATTTTAGCCTCATTTGAAGACCAGATTTTTATTATTTGTGTTATTTTTACATATTGTCTTTGTTTTGTCTTTCTTGTTGTCTGTCTGCTTTATTCTTCCGTATTTCTTTTAGATATATTTGTGTTATTATTACTTTTTTAGACTGTTTTTATGTGCATCACTTTGTTAACACTGGTTTTGATGAAAATGTATTATCGTTATTGTTCATAATATTGCTGATTATTACTATTGTTTGCTTTTTAGAATTATCCATTATATTTTTTTATTTTTGCCGCTACTGGACAGCGGAATTTCTCCAACGGGGATCAATAAAGTATCTATCTATCCATTGGAAGTTGAAATATAATGTAAATAATGTACATATTTGATCATTCAAGAAAGTTTTAAACCTCCTCCTGCATCATGTTCTGAATGTGCTCAATCACTATCTTTTTTTGCATTTGACCGACTGTGAGTGGAATGTCTTGCATGTGTTTTACAGATTCTCGACCACATAAGTAAATAAATACATATGTACGTGAAGAGTTGATTTGCAATGACAGAACATTTGTCAAATCTATGTATTTTTCTGGCTACAGTCTCTTTTTTTATTTGACGACAGTATTGGGAGTAACGCGGTACAAAAGTAAGGCAATATTAAAATTTCCACACAAAAAAATAAATTCAATTGTGTTTTGTTTTTATACTATGCCACGGATGTAAAGACACTAACATTTAACTCTCATTCAATTCAAGTGTTTCCCAATGTTATGAAATAGTTTTCGGTAACAAATAGGATACAACCGATACTTTCTAACAGCAATAACAAACAAAAAAACATATCAAAAGAACTTTATTTTTTACATTTTAGACCCACAAATGTTCAAGTGTAGGCATTTAACACATATTTTACAGCAGTATAATGTTAGTGCGACTCAAAGACAAGCACAAAAGACGATTCTGGTTTTTCTGCACACAAAATCTATTATCGGTTATATTGAAAAAAAAAAAGTTACATTACTTAACTACATACTATTTGAATCTATTGCAGAAACAAGTTCAGTGTGATCTCATTTCAACCCCACAACTAACAACTTAAATATATGAAATTTCCCGACTGTGGGACAAAACAATCTCTCTTGACACTGCTACTCCCAGACCAGTCAATTTGACGGCTTTAGTTGCAATTACTGTAGTTTTTAGTCTTCAGAAATTTGTGACTTTTTCTGTCTCTATATGTAGTCATTATTTTGATTAAATAATCTTTTATTTTTTATATTTTCTACCATTAACTGTTAGAGAAGAGTCAGTACTGGTTACCATAGCAACACACTGTTTGCTATCACCAGTTAGCAGTTAGCCTTTGTCATATTTCAAGTTATATTCACCAGTTTTAGCACTAATTTGAAAGTGAATAAAGGTTAACACATTGTAAATTACTTACTTAAAATATTCATTTTTGGGGGAATTACTCTGAATTCTATTGCTAATAAGCATAAGCTAATATTTCAGAATTGAGAGTGTTAGCGTTAGCATCATGACTTCTCTTTCTCACGGTCTGAGGATTGGAGTGGCCCTGGTTTGGAAGAATGACACTGGAAATGTTCAGAAAAGTTTGAATAGAAAATAAATTCAATACAAAATAAAAGATATGTTCATTGGCTGTTTGTCTCTATCTTTATTGTCTGTTTTTAACTGTTTTATATGGACTTTTTTTATGTGCCTGGGTTAAAAACTAAAGAAAGAGTTTTAAATTAAACCTAGAGTCTGTAATAAAGAGTTGAAATGAAAGAAGAAAAACAGTAAAACAAGTCCTTTCATAGAGAGAGAGACAGTTCTCCCCTCAGACGAAGTCGCGCCCGCCCTGTCCCGAGGAGGCGGGGGGGTAGCGGGGGCCCTTCCCGGAGCCTCCCTGACCAGAGCAGTTACAGCAGAGGAAGGAGCCCCCGATGGCGCTGAGGCAGGCCGCGCCCCAGCCCACGTATAGAGCACTGCCAAACTCATACCTGCAAAGAGAGGTTCCCACGTCAGTCTCTCACAAACATTCAAACTGGTCCTGGGAATACTGGGAATACTCATTACAGTATTCCATCTTCGGTATTTTTAGTTCGGCCGTCAAAAGTATCAAATATCAGCTACCGTAAATTCCGGACTATAAGCCGCAACTTTTTTCCTGAACTTTGAACGCTGCTGCTTATGCTAAGGTGTGGCTTATACTAAGGTGCGGCTTTGACTAAGGTGCGGCTTACACTAAGGCGCAGTTTACACTAAGGTGCAGCTCACTCTAAGGTGTGGCTTATGTTAAGATACGGCTTAGACTAAAATGGGTTAGGGTTAGACTAAGATGCGCCTTATCCTAAGGTGCGGCTTAGACTAAAATGCAGCTTAGACTAAGGTGCGGCTTACACTAAGGTGCGGCTTAGACTAAAATGCAGTTTAGACTAAGGTGCGGCTTAGACTAAGGTGCGGCTTAGACTAAGGTGCGGCTTAGACTAAGGTGCGGCTTACACTAAGGTGCGGCTTAGACTAAGGTGCGGCTTAGACTAAGGTGCGGCTTAGACTAAGGTGCGGCTTACACTAAGGTGCGGCTTAGACTAAGGTGCGGCTTACACTAAGGTGCGGCTTACTCTAAGATGCGGCTTAGACTAAGGTGTGGTTTACACTAAGGTGCGGCTTACTCTGATTCAGAAGAAGTGGACTGACTGAGGTGAGCAGGATCAGGCTCAGAAACATGTCTGATAATTATCGCTTTAACAGTTTCCTCAAACATTTGGTGGATCACTTTTTCAGTCACTTTACCTACTTGAAGCTTGGAACTGAAATCTACCTCATTGTGGCCTCTCTGTCACTTACAGATGCACTTTTACCATCAAGCTGCATCTCCACCATTTGGTAGAGGACTATATGTAAATAAGCCTTTTAAAAGGGACCTAATCTTATTTTGTTTGAATATTGTGGTCTTTATTTGTGTTAAATAAAACTCATTTTGACAGATAGTTTCACCCTTAGCGGTTTCTATCAATAATTATCATGCAAAAAGACATTCGCGGAAAAATTGCCGAGACCGGAAGTGACGTACACATGGGGGTCATTGGGCTCTGTTGATATGCATTTGTAAGCCATAACGTTGTATACGGATGTTTTAAGATACAAGGGCCTTTGTAAAAAACGAAACAAAAATATTATTTTTGTCTTATCCTATGTCTTATCTTAGAACATAAAAAATAGAATAATTAAATTACTTTAGCCACTTCAAATCTCAGGGATTGTTCCATCTGGTCCTAAAATAGAACTTTCTTCAAGGAGTGAACATTAAAGAAGCAGGACTCACTTCTTTACAGTTTTGTCTAAATAAATTAACCATCTAAGTTGGAGTAGGAATATCTCACTTCCATTACAGTCAGTTTATCATTTTCTTCGTATGGTTGATAAAACAAACAGGAGAATTCAAAGTTTACAACGTGACAAATGGTAGTTGTGTGTTTTTATTCTCTCCAGATCAATATGAATTTCCTGAAAGGTGGAGCGTACTTAGCGTTGGTGGGAGTGAAGGGGTTGTAGAAGTCCTGGGCCACTCTGTGTCCGTACCACGAGGTTCCAACCAGAGACATGAGCCCTGAGGACATGGGAGAAAACGTGTGGGTTTGAGGTTGGTTCAAAATAACTACAAGTCTCTACAAGTCTGAACTCTGCCAGGACACACACAAACACACACACACTTTCTCTGGCACTAAATGAACTGTATACAAAAAAAACTACAGGCAGGTGACAGGCCCAATCAGACAAATACCATGCTGCAAATTTAAATGACCAACACTCATTGGTTCGCACACCTTCTTAGATTCAAACAAAATATACTTTATATTACACAGTCAGGTTCCCCAGCTTAATTTAGTGAGTTTTAGATGAGCTTTTATTTCCATTCCAGTCCTCGAGTCCCCATCTCTGTTTGAGTCAATAACAGAATATTGTGATCCAAGTAAAACATTAGAACAGCTTAAAATGGTCTTAACCCGGTCTGCTTTAAAAGAAGGATTACATAAGTAGGTTAAAATCATTATAGACTAATCGTAACTCAAATAGCTTTTGCTTTAAACTGGGTTACCTTACTTTCAAACCACCAAAAATAATCCAAGTATTTATGTACTTGTCTGGTGCACACTGGGGACTTTTGCACATGTATTCCAATGTGGTTTTACTGCAAATGGCAAATAAAATGAATCTTAATCAATAGAATCTGTTGCCTTTTCCCCGCACAGTCCATATTGATTCCCTGTACAGACCTGCAATGATGAAGACCACGCCTGCGGCCAGAGCCACCTTGTCCTTCTGCTGCGGAGAGTCTGCTAAACATGTGGTACAGCGCATCCCCACCACCGCCACCAGGATGGAGAAGAAGGAGAAGAGAATGGAGGCCAGCATCAGGCCCCGAGTGCCCATGACGATGCCTGCAGAAAGCACAGACATGAGTAAGTAAATAAGTAACGTTTATTTATATGAGGAGGGTTGGAGAGGGGATCAAGAGTGAACACACACTACAAAAAGCGGCTATTTCTCTCTTAAATCTATAAATCATGGTCACGTTCTGAAACGCTAAAATGTGAAGTGAGTGAAGTGAAATAGACATTCGGGTGGTAAGTCAAACGTAAACGTCAATAATGGAGGAATTCCCAAAACTAATAAAAGCTAAAATTCCATTCAATTCATCTTTAATGCAGTCACATACAAGACAGTGAGTAACGTTTATTTATAGAGCGCATTTTCCAGACCAAGGTCACCCAAAGCGCTTTACAATATTCAGAAATCAGATATTTTTTCCGCCACAAACTTTGATGACGGAAGCGAGACGCCGAACACTGGTGCATCAAAGCCCCAAACCAACACCATCCATTCACTCACTTGCTATATTCATACCTATTGGGCAAGTTTTTAGTGGTAGGGGAAACCGTAGCACCTGGAGGAAACCTACGCAGGCACAGGGAGAACATGTAAACTTCACTCAGTAAGGCCCTGTTCCGCCCGAGATTCGAACCCAGGACCTTCTTGCTGAGAAGCGAGACTAACCACTCAGCCACCGTGCCGCTCATAAAGTCATGAATGGCCTTGCTCTTTCAGCAGGGGCCTTCAGGCAAAGTGGGGTTAAGTGTCTTGCCCAGGGACACGACGACAGCAGACATCAGAGGGAGCAGGTGACATGGGTCGTGAGGGGATCGAACCCATGACCATTGGGTTCAAAGACCACCATCTGAGCCACTGTCGTCTCTTCGTCTTTTCCTGGTCTTCCTTTTGAATGTTAGTCTCTGGGATGTGTTGGTATTTGAGTGACATGTCTGCACAGGCCCGCCTTCCTGCCTTCCCGCCTTCCCGCCCACTGCCTCTGACCAGTGACGAATCCAGAAAAGTATGTTACACACATGACAGAAAGCAACCAGTTTTAAAGAGTATAAATGGAGAGATATTGTGTTTATGTGAAAATGTCTGAATCTTTTTGACATTTTGTTATTACAGGATTTCTGAAAAAATAAGCCTATATTTTAACAAGAAAGTTGAGGACTGTACTGTAAAAAAAATTAAATAATCATAACCCAGACAGAAAAGCGCGTCCAAGTAATAAATAAAATGTAGGAAATGTATAAATGAAATCATGATTATGAATACTTTCTTTTCTGATATCGGAAAATGCTCAAACAGCTGTATTCAAATATTTTTCTGGCAAATGAATTGCGGTCTTTCTATAAGGTTTAAAGCTGGGGATACCATTGTGTTTCCCAGTAATAAAAATATTTTGTTTCTTTTCTACACAACGAGCCGCCCATCCATCCATCCATTTTCTTAATCCATTTCTGGGTCGGGTGGTGGCAGTCAGAGCTGCACCCAGTACACAGAGCACCAGCCCCTCACTGATCCTCCTGCAGGTGGTGAGTCCACAGGAGCTGAGATCTTTCAGTGGGGGCTTCAGGCAAAGTGGGGTTAAGTGTCTTGCCCAAGGACACAACGACAGCAGTCATCAGAGGGAGTCGTGAAGTAGGTCTTATGGTGGGCTCGAACCCACGACCTTCAGGTTCAAAGGCCAATGCTCTACCAACTGAGCCACTGTCGCAAAGAGCCGTGTCAAAGAACAAATCCACTCACATCATACTTGTAAGAATCAGCCCCGTGAGTCACTATTTTAGGCTTTGGGTTAGGGTTAGGGTTATGGCTTTGAGGGGGAAGGGAAATAGTATTGTTTCATGTGATGTGATGGTTTTAGGCACTTTTACCATCAAACTGCATCTCAACCATCTGGTAAAGGCAAATCATTAAAAACTAGGGGTTACAAAAAAAATAATGTAATTAGTGCTTAAAAATCAACAAAAGAAGCATTTACATTGAAGGAGTGAAGAGAAATATTTAAGAGCAGCAAGTAAATATCAATATGTCCATATGTGTTTATATAGAGTAAACTATACACATATATTGCAGGATCAATAGTAAACAAAGTGACTGTCAGCACTGCAAAAAAGATAAAATACGAACTCATGAAGTAATGATCGCTTGAATCAAGTGGCATAATTTGTGTACATTTTGACTGCCATTTAAATTTCTTCTATTTTTTTTTTTTTAGATTTGATAATTTTGCTTGTCCCATTGGCAAATCTGGTTTTAAGGCAGTCAAAAAGTGCTTAAATTATAATACATTTAGCACAATTTGATCCATTATTTACTGATTTTTCATTACTTTTTGCAGTGAGTGGACATTCTGAAATTGCAGTATTGAACATGATATTTACAGATGAGATGACAAACACAAAATAAAGTCCCAGGACCAAACCCTGAGCAGGATCTTACCAGGCAGCTGCAGCAGCGAGTCGTAGACCTTGCACTGGATCTGGCCCGTGCTCTGGGAGGCGCAGGACTTCCACAGGCCTTCATACAGAGCCTGGGCGGTGATGATGTTGTCTCCGGCGTACGATGAGGCTTTCCACTCCACCATCACCGTGGACGCAATGGACCCAATGAAGCCCAGGAAGGCCAGGGTGAATCCCAGCATCTGGATGCCGGCGTTGGCCATGGCTGTTGAGTGTGCAGAGGTGTGAAGGGGAATGCAGGGTTTCTAACCTGGGAGGGAGCGGTGCGAATGGGGCGGTGAGCCAGTGGGTACCTGCTCATGACCTCCAGGCAAAAAGACATGGTCCCACATTCCAGCAGGTGAGCAGCAGAACATGGGGGACCCCTAGTGGAGGCTGTGAGACATGTCTGATATGGGAAAGAGATGAGCAATGTTGTTAGAATCAGAATCAGAATCAAAATCAGAATATTTTCATTGCCATTGTATGTAACAGGAAGTGCATGTGTGTCATTATGTGAATAAAAACAATATAAAATAAGTAAGTAAGAGGAAGTCACACAAGGAATTTGCTTTGGGTCGTGGTAAAAGTAAAAAGTAGATATATATATACATGCATGCATTGCGAGAGATGTGGCAAAGAAGTTAAGTATATATTCTTAATTAACTTGTTTATTTATATATTTTATTTTTATGACAAATATTGCTATCTGCTACTCCTTAAATGTAATAAGTAGGTTTGTGATTTTATTTTAAATAGCAGATGAATACAGTAGGTTTGAAGCAGTGAGCCATGCATCTTGAATCAGATTAACTCAATTTTGAAGTGGTTAGCCGTGCTTCTAAATCCACAAGTTGGAAGCGGTTAGCCATGCGTCTACCTTTCTGAGCCAGTGTAGCTTTTTTAAATGAAAGAATAGTTATTTTCTTACGTCTGGGTTTTGGGCTTCCAAGATATTTTACCTAAGAATTAAACAACATTACAAGACATAACCTTTTTAAAGTGTATTTATGTATTAGTAGTTATCTGCTGTTATTTAGTTCAAGAACAATACTTACAACTTAAAACAGTGCTTATTCTTACTTCCTTTTGGCAGATCAACACAAGACTATATCACTAAAACAGTACATTTGTAGTTTGTCGTTTCTATAAATAATCCATTCTGTCAACAATACACTGTTACAAAGTTATTTCCAAATACTCTCCCAGCCCACCTCACTGACCTCACAACATTTCTGTCTTTCCTCCTGTTTTCAAAGTACTGATTTTTCTTTTTTCTTCCCTGAACGCTCTGACCAAAGGTTCTGTTGTCTCACTCAGCTCAGACTGTGTTCATTCGCTCTCTGCGTTGGCTCGTGGAACCTCTAACTGTACATCCTGGCTTTCAAAAGTAAGTGCAAATATTTACTGCAACTTTAGCTCATAGCACCTCTTAGCTAATCCTGTCTTATCAACTTTATTTAGGTAGAAGATGTCCAAGTCGGCGGTGTCCATCTCCTTCTTTGTGCTGTTGTTTTGCCTGGAGTGGAGCAGTTCCCAGTCGGACTGTCCGTATCGCTGCCAATGCTTCCGCTCGGATCAAGTCCTCTGTGCCGATGAGCGAATGTCGTCCTTACCGCGCAACATGTCCCGCCAGGTTCGCGACTTCATCCTCATGACTTCCTCCGTGAGCTACCTTTTCACCAACACTTTGGAAGACAGCCCGCAGCTCTGCAAACTCATCTTCCTGAACAACGCCATCCGGAGCGTCCATTCCCAAGCCTTCGAAGACCTCGTCCAGCTTCAGGATCTGGAGATCAGCGGGAACCCTTGGCTGGAGCATTTGTACCTGGGGACCTTCTCCAAGCAGCACAATTTAACTAATCTAATGCTCAACTACAACCGCTTAAAGACGGTGCTTCCGGGAATGTTTGCGTCGCTAAGGCAACTGGAGACTTTGCAAATGAAAGGCAATATTATCTCGCATCTTCCGCCGCTGCTGTTCTCGAACTTGAGTCGACTCACGGTTTTAGATTTGTCGATAAATAAACTGGAAGTGGTTTCACGGGAGACATTTTGGGGTTTGGGAAAGTTGGAAATTCTGAAACTGAGTCAGAACTTGTTGAGAAACCTTTCTTCAGGCTCGCTAAGTGATGTTGGGACACTTAAAGAGCTCTACTTGGAAGGAAACAAGATCTCAGAACTAAGCAAAGACACTTTTTCAGAATTATCGAGTCTGGAAGTGTTGAATCTTAGGGGTAATGTCCTCAAAACATTTACAGGCGAAATATTTGGAATTTCAAAAGTAGTTTTACGGGAACTTAACTTAAAGGGCAATCAACTATATGAGTTTTCACCAACAGGTAACCTATCATCGCTTACCAGCCTCGACTTGTCTTCGAATCAACTCTACGCTCTTTGCAAGGAGGTTTTCCAAAATATGACAAACCTTGAAAACTTGGAAGTTTCCGAGAATCAGATTTCAAGTTTGCCCGAAACTATTTTTAACGAACTTTTCAACCTTAAAGTGGTTAACTTCCAGGCCAACAATCTAAGCTCGATCCAACCCAAGCTTTTCGAAGATCAAGCCCTAATCGAGCAGCTAAACCTCTCGGACAACCGGCTTCAAACTCTTCCAGAAGGACTAATGGACACTTTCTCGGTGCAGCATATGTTGAGGCTGCACGGAAACCCTTGGAAGTGCGACTGCGGCCTGTGGTACCTTCACGACTGGGTTCTGCGAAACGGACAGAACGTTGAGATGCTGGACAGGACGCTGTGTGAAAGTCCTGCGTTTCTAAATCGGCGTTCAATGGACTCCGTGGAGAGGGAGCAGCTGGTTTGTCACATGGGCAAAGACCATTCTGTGGACGTCAGGAACTGTCTGATGCAGGTTTCCGGCGATGCGGTGATCATCAAGTGTAAAGTAGAGACGTGTTTGCCTTTAGCAGTGAAGGTTCAGCTCCAAGACGAACTGGGGAATGTCAAAGAGCACGTGGTGAGGAATGAATGGACAGACAGTGCGCAGTGTAGCAATATGACCTTAGAATAGACAATACCAAGAAAATATCTAGAACTAGACCCTTGTATAGACATTACCAAGATAGACCCTTGTATAGACAATACCAAGATCTTACCAAGAACTAACCCTGTGTATAGACAATACCAAGATCATACCAAGAACTAGACCCTTGTATAGACAATACCAAGATCATACCAAGAACTAGACCCTTGTATAGACAATACCAAGATCTTACCAAGAACTAGATCCTTTTATAGACAATACCAAGATCTTACAAAGAACTAGATCCTTTTATAGACAATACCAAGATCATAGAAAGAACTAGACCCTTGTATAGACAATACCAAAATCATACCAAGAACGAGACCCGTGTATTGACAATATGAAGAACATACCAAGAACTAGACCCGTGTATTGACAATATGAAGAACATACCAAGAACTAGACCCGTGTATTGACAATATGAAGAACATACCAAGGACCCTTGTATCCCCCGTTCCTATTTAGTCAGAAACACCCCATTCATTTTGGTCATTCAGGAAAAAATGGGTCAAAAAGTGGAATATTTTGACTACTGATCCAAGATACATGACTGGGTTGAGTTGGTAGAAACAGCAATGTCTTTGTTTTATGTGGATCATACAGACGGTATAAATAAATATAACTACAGTATATGTGTACATTCACACATCTGTGCAGTAGAAGTAGATACATAAGATGAATGGAAAAAGGTGGTACTTTCTGTAAAGTTCTTGTTATATGTGAAATGGGAACAATACTTAATTAAAGTACCAGGAAGTAAGACAAGTTCTTGCTGTGAGGAAAACTAATTTTGATTCAAGGTATTTGGCCGTTGCTTGGTGTTTTTGTTTAAGCTTTATTTAGTAACAATTAATGATGCTATGTGGAGTGAACCCCAGGAAGACAAGGGGACCATTTATTGGAAGCTAATGGGAATTTGAATAAAAAAACAAACAAAAGTAAATTAATGACACTTGCAGATCTACAGTATGTAATATACTTTCAACATAATAAATCTCAATGTTGATCTGAAATGTCTTAATAAAAGAAACATGTCATCCTCTAATTAATGTTTTAAAATGGTTGTTTTTGGTTGCGACATAGCATCATGCTTTGTTGTGTGGTCAACAAGTTCAAAGGGGAAACAATTGGTTAATGGTTGTTTTTAAGAGAATATCTGTCTTCAATACTCTATTTGGAAACACGTCACTGGAAAAGCATAGCAGAGAATAGGAAAAAAAAGTTTATTCGTATATAGCACCGTTCATAGTCAATGCTACTCAATGTGCTTAACCAAACAACACAGAAGCAGTCAAACAAGGCTTTAAAATAACTCTGTTTAAAGCCCAGGCCAACGTTTGACATTTACAGGTTGTGAATGTTGGAAGCACAAATTACTGATGTCACATTTTTTTCTCTGTGTCAATACAGCGGAGCCTGACTCAGCTGAGTACATGCACACACTGGGGAAAGGTCGAGTCAACAGACCATCTCTCCATTACTACTCAATGTGGATCTAACACATTTACATTATTTTATATTAAGACAGCAGCCCAGTGTTTATTACCTGTCCTGAAATCATTAATACAGTTTTGTGTTTCTGATAGCAACAATAAATGCATTTGTTTTACTTTTATTTCTATGTGTTCGCTCACTCAAATCATTGAGAGCTGTTTTAACTTGGATTCGAGATTTGTCAGAGAAGAAGTCTGTCTCACATTTTCAGTTTGTTCCAGATTTTCGCTGCATCAATCTGAAATGTTGCCTCCTCATGTTTAGTCCTGACTCTGGGTATTAGCAGGAGGCCAGTCCCTGTGCTCTTCAGAGTCACAGCAGGAGGCCAGTCCCTGTGCTCTTCAGAGTCCCAGCAGGAGGCCAGTCCCTGTGCTCTTCAGAGTCACAGCAGGAGTCCAGTCCCTGTGCTCTTCAGAGTCCCAGTAGAAGGCCAGTCCCTGTGCTCCTCAGAGTCCCAGCAGGAGGCCAGTCCCTGTACTCCTCAGAGTCCCAGCAGGAGTCCAGTCCCTGTGCTCTTCAGAGTCCCAGCAGGAGGCCAGTCCCTGTGCTCTTCAGAGTCCCAGCAGGAGGCCAGTCCCTGTGCTCTTCAGAGTCCCAGTAGAAGGCCAGTCCCCGTGCTCCTCAGAGTCCCAACAGGAGGCCAGTCCCTGTGCTCCTCAGAGTCCCAGCAGGAGTCCAGTCCCGGTGTTCCTGAGTGTCCCAGCAGGAGGCCAGTCCCTGTGCTCCTCAGAGTCCCAGTAGAAGGCCAGTCCCTGTGCTCCTCAGAGTCCCAACAGGAGGCCAGTCCCTGTGCTCCTCAGAGTCCCAGCAGGAGTCCAGTCCCGGTGTTCCTGAGTGTCCCAGTAGAAGGCCAGTCCCTGTGCTCCTCAGAGTCCCAACAGGAGGCCAGTCCCTGTGCTCCTCAGAGTCCCAGCAGGAGTCCAGTCCCGGTGTTCCTGAGTGTCCCAGTAGAAGGCCAGTCCCTGTGCTCCTCAGAGTCCCAGCAGGAGGTCAGTCCCTGTGCTCCTCAGAGTCCCAGTAGAAGGCCAGTCCCTGTGCTCCTCAGAGTCCCAGCAGGAGGCCAGTCCCTCTGCTCCCCAGAGTCGCAGCAGGAGGCCAGTCCCTGTGCTCTTCAGAGTCCCAGTTGGTTCATTAGGCACTACTTTTCTTTCAAGTCTTGCGTCTGAAACAGAGATTATGACAAAAACATACATTGTTTTTTACCTGAAGTTTCTGATATTAGCGTGGATGGACCAAACAACCACCCCAGACTTGTTTTTGACGAGGAACAATGTTGTTGATTTTGCATTGTACGTCCCCTTTAAATTGGAGCTAAATGGAATTAAAACATCCGGAAAAATCTCTTAATTGCAGACCCCAGCTTTACCCACTCTTACTAGTCATCCCAACATGGACAAAGTGGCTCAACTGAGTGTTATTGAAAGCTGGTCGCAGATGGCCCCGTCCTGAAGACACCGGTTAAACAAGGGGCCACAGGTCGAGAGGTCGATTGGGTTGTCGGACCTCCTGAATGACATCACCCGTCACCACAAAGGCTCTGACCATCTCACTCCTGAAGAGGCGGGATCCAAGGTCATTTGGATTCAGCTCTCTGCTCATTTTGTTAAGGTTAACTGTCTCGTTTGGGGTTTTTTTAACTGCTGGTTTTCTGTCCATTCAACAATTGGAGAATGTATTTTGGTTAGCAAGAGTGGCTCCAACAAACACTGCATGGAGTGAATAGAAAAATATTTGTGCTCCAAAAACACTGTAAAACACTTTGGGGGACTTTGGTCTGTGATGTACGCTATATAAATAAATATTACTTATGTTCTTACTACTAGATACTCTATAACCTGTATTGTGTGCTCTTTCTAATTAACATAAAATAATAATAATGCATCGGTTTTATACAGCGTTTTTTTTATTTTGAAAGACGCTTCACTTGTCATTATTCATTCACTTCATACACAGTGGTGATAAGCAACTCCCGTAGCCACAGCTGCCCTGAGACACACTGACAGAGCAGCACAGTGGCCGAAGGGGATTGTTGTCTCGCCTCTCTGTGTGAGACAACGGCCCTCAACAATTGTAACTTTGGTCTGTGAAAGCCACTGTATAAATAAAGATTACTTACTTACACTCTGAGCAAGAAGGTCCTGGGTTCGAATCCCAGTCGGAAAACAGAGTCTTCCTGAGTGGAGTTTGCATGTTCTCTCCGTGTCTGCTTAGGTTTCCTCTGGTTGCTCATGTTTCCCCAACCACTAAAACCATAAAGCGCTTTTCACAAACCAGAGTCACAAAGCAAAGGAACGCATTCAAACGGGTGCTATACGGGGACCGCTGCTCCTGATGGACGGGACGGGATGGCATCAGGATGGGTCAATTGCAGAAGAGGATTTGCCTTTCGGGGGTATAAATTAACTTACTTACTTACTTATGTTGTAAAACCTCAAATACTTCAAATGTAAAGGTCCGGTTACACAGCAGATGGGAGAAGGCTTTACACTTATGTCTGCTTATGGTCCACTTTAACAAGCGTTCTTATCAACAAAAACAGTTCAGCTAAAATCTCTGAAACTACTGCTGCTGGCGAGTGATAAAGACAGAGCCGCGTCTGGATCAGTCGTAGCCAATTAGCTTCTGTTGCTTCCCTTTTAGACCCTTCCATGTCCGGATGACCTCTGGTGCCGACCAACACAATGTCCCGGCCGCACAAAGCAGTGGACTTTCTCACACAACACTCTCACCCCAGAGCTGTAAATCTTCCCAACTCACTGGCATAGATAGAGATAGTGAGGAGCAATACTGTAGGCGTTGTAGGTCTAAGGGACCTGTTAAGAGAAGGTTTTTGTTTCCTCACAAAAATGGCTTCTTTCACCCCTCTCTCAAACCAATTCTTCTCCCGAGCCAGAATTTTAACCTCTGTGTCATCCACCGTGTGGTTGGAGGCCTTGAGGTGGAGATGAACAGCCGACTGTGGCCCACTAGAGTTTTCTCTACGATGTTGGTAAAGTCGTTTCTGTAGAGTTTGTTTGGTTTCTCCAATATAGTGGTCAGTGCACTCCTCTTCACTACATTTAATTGAATACACCACATTGCTCTGTTTGTGTCTGGGTGTTTTGTCTTTGGGATGCACTAATTTCTGTCTTAACGTGTTGAAAGGTTTGAAATACACAGGGATTTTGTGTTGCCTAAAGATTCTTTGTAGTTTCTCTGAAACTCCCGCCACATACGGTAAGGACACCCCTCTCCTCCTACTTTCTTCTGTCTGTTGGACTGTGTCTCTGGCCTTTCTCGTCCTTTGGGCTTTAGTAAAAGACCACTTGGGGTAGCCACATCTGGAAAGTGCTCTCTGAACATGTTTGGTTTCTCTGTTCTTTCCCTCCGAGCTAGTGGGGACCTGGTGGGCTCGGTGTTGAAGCGTTCTAATGACCCCGAGTTTGTGTTGTAGCGGATGATTTGAATCAAAGGCCAAGTACTGGTCAGTGTGAGTGGACTTTCTGAAGACCTCA